GAGTTGAGGAGTTATTGCCGTTATGTTTCAAGTTTTGAGAAAATATACTGTTTCTAGATTTCATCATTATTCGATGACTGACAAATTTTCATAATCGCGGGTTTATTTTTCTCAATCTTTGGTGGATTTTTGTGATCTTTTGGCAAATTGATGAATGTATACGAAGAAATAAATCATAATATAAAAAAGAGAAAGGAAATCGATCTCCAAATATCTCGAATGACCGTAAAATTAGGCCCGTTAGGCGGAACGGGCGGTTCCGTTAAAAAAAAACGGTACAGTAAATTTTACGGAATTCATTCCTAAATTTTCTTAACCGTATGGTACTTATTTTTCCGATTTCACCGTTCGCCTCACGTTTACGTTTCAAACAGTCATTTTTACGTAATTTCTCACGTACTTTTCCCAGTATTTTTCTCTCCGTGTAGGTAAATTCATCCATAGTGATGAAACTTCGTGGGACATTGAATAATAATAAAACTTAAAAATTGAATATGTTTTCACATAAATTTTATCAACCGCTTCCTAGAAATGTTTAAAAAAATGAAAAAATGGAAAGATATCGAAAAATTATCGTTGACATTTCCAGTTAAAGAACTTGAACTTGAACACTAATTTAATATTCAGATGACTTTGTGAGGAAAATTCAAAAAAATGTTTAACAATGTAAATAAATTCGACTTCACCACGAATTTTTTTTTCTCAAATACTTCCTAATGTCATCAAATTTAAATTAAATTTAATCATTATGTAATTATATGTAATTGACCAAAAAACTCTTCCCACGATTTGACTTTTATTGATCTTATCGTAAAGAAGATAAATGGAAATCATTCAATTCATTAGATGCTCACACCAATGTTCCCTTCAGTTTCAATCGAATTTTCACATGGGTCTTCACTTCATGTGGAGGTAGTTCTGACAGTTCCGACGTGATCGATAATCCATTGAAGATATCCAGAAATCCTCGTGTAAACATCTGGCCAATCGAGGCTACAGGGAATAGCGTACGACGCAATTCCGAGTTGTGCTCCTTCAAAAATCAGGGGCCCCCCTATGTCCTCGAAGCAGAGGCCCGCGGTGCTATTAAAATAAGTACAAACATGTTTTTCAGTGATATACCCACGCCGATCCTTTTTGCACTCCTCATTAGAAATAATTGGGAGATCGATCTCATGGAGTTTGTCGCTCAGCAAAAGATTGTCCTGGAATTCAAC